TGACAGCCCAACAGCACCCAGCACCTCAGCACCCCAACACCCACCATCGAGCACAGAACCCCAACATCTCCCAGCACCTCGGTGCCCCAACACCTCCCACAGCACTTGGGACCCCAACACATCCCAACCACACCCACAGCAACACCCACTGTGACACCCCAACACTGCCCAGAGCACTGGGGAACGTGGCAGAACCCACTGTGACACCCCAAGACCACCCAGAACCTCAGCACCCCAACACCACCCACAGTGACACCCGTCCTGACACCCCAACAGCACCCACAGTGCTTGGAAACACAGCGACACCCCCCAAGACACCCCAGCACCTCCCAGCCCCTCGGCACCCCAACGTCTGTGGAACCCCAACATCTCCCACCACCTCACCTGGACGGCCCAGTACCTCCCAGAGTGCCTGGAACCCCAACACCACCATCACACACGGAACCCCGACATCTCCCAACACCTCTGTACCCCAACATCACCCACAGCACCTGGAACCCCAACATCTTCCACAGTGCTTGGAACCCCAACAGCTCCAACACCTCTGCACCCCAACAGCACCCACGGTGCCTGGAACCCCAACACCACCATCACACATGGACCCCCAACATCTCCCAGCACCTCAGCACCCCACAGCCCCCATCAGTCCTGGAACCCCAACATCTCCCATCCCACTGGAGACCCCAACAGCACCCACAGCACTTGGGACTCCCACACTTCCCACCCCCTCAGCGTCCAAGCTGACATCGCACACGGAACCCCAACACATCCCATCTGCGCAACATCCCAGCACCGCCCACGGCACCTGGAACCCCAACACATCCCATCACCTCGACACCCCAGCACCACCCATGGGGCATCTGGAATCCCACCTCCTCCCATCCCCCCGGCACCCCAACACCACCCATCACGTTTGGGATCCCAAATCCACCCGCAGCACCTGGAATCCCAACACATCCCTTCACTGGGCACCCCGGCACCCCAACAGCATCCTGGACGCTGGGAACCCCCACCCACGGGATCGGGACAGCGACATCCTCATGGGAGCCCTGGGCATCTTCCACAGCCCCGGGATGGGATGGGATGGGATGGATGGGGTGGGAAGGGATGGGATAGATGGTATGGGTGGGATGGGATGACACGGGATGGGGATGGGGTGGGATGGCATGGGGTGGCATGGGATGGCATGGGATGGCATGGGATAGCATGGGATGAGGAGGGGTCCCCACCCCTCCCCTTTGCACCGCGGACCCCTCACCACTCCATGCAGGACAACGATCTCATCCAGTTTGAAGGCAGCCCCGATCCGGCGCCGCACCTTGGGGGGCTTCTCCCCGGCCTTCAGGGGGTACTCGCGGGGCAGTGTCCCCGTCAGCTCCTGGGACAGCACAGGGACACTGAGCGGGGACACTGCGGGAACACTGAGCGGGGACACCACGGGGACACCACAGGGACACCGAGTGGGGACATTAAGTAGTGCCACTGTGGGGACACTGAGCTGTGTCACTGCAGCGGGGGGAACAGGGCAGGCAGGGGGTCTCCGTGCTCGGGGTGGGGTCGGACCGCGTGTCCCTGTGCGCCACTCGTGGGGACACTGAGCTGTGCCCCCGAGGCCTGAGCGGGGGGGGTCACCCCGGGGGTCCAGAGCCCCTCTCAGGGATAGGGAGGTTCACACAGGGGGTCCCGAGTCCCTCTTAGGGCCGGGGGGGGTCACCCCGGGGGTCTCGGGTTAGGGGGGTCACCCCAGGGGTCCCGAGCCCCTCTCACCGCCTCCCGCAGGCAGAGCCGCCGCAGTTCCTGCACGCAGCCCTCGAGCCGCGCCTCCAGCGCCTGCTGCTGCCGCCGCCCCGCCTGCACCCGCTCCTTCGGGGGGGGCACCGGACTGGCCGGGCCTGGGGGGGACACGGACGGGGGCACGGACCCATGAGGGCACGGGGGGCACCCGGGCACCACCCCCCGGCCCCCGCAATCGGTGCGTGTCAAGGCCGGTGGGAGGAAAAAGCAGCCGTGACCCCCCCCAGAGCAGCACCCACGGGTGTTCCAGCCCCCCAGGGTATCCATGACCCCCCCAGCAGCACCCGCGGGAGTTCCAGCCCCCCCAGGGTATCCATGACCCCCCCAGCAGCACCCGCGGGAGTTCCAGCCCCCTCCGGGGTATCCATGACCCCCCAGCAGCACCCTCGGGTGTTCCAGCCCCCCTGGGGTATCCATGACCCCCCCAGCAGCACCCGCAGGGGTTCCAGCCCCCCCGGCAGAGCCGTGCCGCCGCCGCGGGGGGGGCACAGGGGGAAGGTTTCATCCTGACTCACCCCCCCCCCCCGCTAAACCCGGCTGAGCCAAACCCTTCCCCCCTTTGAGTGCCCCCCCAAACCCGGGGGCACCTCCCGTGTCCCTCCCCATTCCCCCAAACCTCCCCCCCCGAGCAGTTTTGGGATGTCCCCACGGTGTCCCCCCGCACTCAAGCGGTCCGTCCTCAGCCTGTGGGGGGGCACGTCTGTCAGAGCACCCATGGGGGGGGCCCAAAGCCCCCCGTTCTCACCCGAGAGCAGCATGATCCCGCTGTCGTCGTCACTCGCCTCCCCCATTCCGTGCCGGGACCCTGCAGGTGACATTGGGGACACACCTCGCCCCCGGCCCCCCCGAGGCAGCACCTATGGTTGCCCCCCCCGCACCCCCAAACCCCCTGCACGGCCCCGGCGGGAAGGTGAGGCTGTGTTTGCTTTGCCTTCCTGTAGGTCCTACCATAAACAAAGGGTGCGGACTGGCGCGGGGGGGGGGACACCCTCGAGGGGGTCAAAGGTGCTCAGGGTGTGGCGGGGGGGGGCGGGGGGGCGGTTTCACTGGGTGCCTCTCCCAGTTTTCCTTTCTTTTCCCTCCGAGCTCCGGTGGCTCCCGGGGGGTGGGACCCGGGAAAAGGGGGGTCCCCAGCACCCCGAGAGCCCCCCAAACTCTTGGGGGGTGTGAAGCGGTGGGAGAGGGCGCGGGGAGGTCTCCCCCCACTGTCCAGTGCCATCGTGCCTCAGTTTCCCCGAGTCGCTGCTCGTTGCACCCCCGGGATGGGGGGGTCAGGGGGATCCCAGGGGGGCTCAGGGGGGGCCCGGGGGTCTCGAGGGGGTCCCGGGGAGGTCGCAAGGGTCTCGGGGAGGGGGGATCCCTTACCTGGGCCCCGCCACCGCCGCCGCTGCCGCGCCCGGGCCCGGGCGGGTCTGGGCTTGACCCGGGGGAGGAGCGGGGAGAGAAAAACCGGCCCCGGAATGGGATGGGATAAATGGGATGGGATGGGGTGGGATAAATGGGATAAATGGAATGGGATGGCATGGCATGGGATAAATGGGATAAATCTGATAAGCAGGATAAACGAGATGAGATGGGGTAAATCTGATAAATGGAATGGGATGGCATGGGATGGGATGGGATAAATGGGACAAATGGAATGGGATAAATGGGATGGGATGGGATGGGATGGAGTGGGATAAATGGGATGGGATGGCATGGCATGGGATAAATGGGATAAATCTGATAAGTAGGATAAATGGGATGAGATGGGATAAATCTGATAATGGGATGGGATGGCATGGGATGGGATGGGATGGGATAGGATGGGGGATGGGCAGATACATGGGTGGATGGATGGATGGATGGATGGATGGAGGGATGGACGGGTACGTGGAAGGATGGATGGAGGATTCATGAACACACAGACAGATGGATGGAGGGATGGATGGAAGGATGGATAGAGGGATGGATGGAGGAATGGATGAATGGATGGATGGATAGATACATGGATGGATGGATGGAGAATTCATGGATACATGGATGGATGGATGGATGGATGGATGCATGGAGGACTCATGGATACATGGATGGATGGATGGATGGATGGATGGGTGGGTGGATGCATGGATAGGTGGAGGACTCATGGATGGACGGATGGATGGATGGGTGGGTGAGTGGGTGGATGCATGGATAGATGGAGGACTCATGGATACACGGATGGCTGATGAGGTGAAGGCAGGAGGTCTGGGCTGGCTGCAGGGATGGAGCCTGGCACAGACACACTGGGACAGACAGACAGGGACAGAGGGACAGAGGGCCATCACAGACCTCCTCCAGCCTCCGGTGGCGCTTCCTCAGCTGTCACTGGGGGCACTGGGGACACTGGGGCCTGCTGGGGACACTGGGGGCACTGGAACCACTGGGGACACACTGGAATCTGCTGGGAACACTGGGCACTGGAACACTGGGAACATTAGGGACTGTTGGGGGAACTGGGATTACAGGGGGCACTGACCCACTGGGATCACTTGGAACACTGGGGTCTGCTGGGTACACTGGTCCCACTGGGTTAGGGAGGTTATTGAGGGAGCTGGGGGTTACTGGGGCAACTGAGTTGGGGACTAGGTGCACTGGGGGTCATTGGGGAGACCTATGGGGGATGCTAGAATGGGACTGGGAGGCACATGGAGGTACTGGGAGACTGGGGATTACTGGAGGGGCTGGGATACTGGGGGGACTGAGAGTTGTTGGGGGACCCAAGGTTACGGGGGGGACTGGTGGTTACTTACTGGGAGAGCTGCGATGGGAACTAGGAGCTTCTGGGGGGAGCTTATGGTTAGACTGGGAGTTACTGGGAACCTGGAGGTCACTGGGGACTGGTTGCACTGGGGCCTTACTGGGAATACTGAGGGGTAACTGGGGGCTGGGATGGGGACTGGGTGCACTGGGAGTTACTGGGAGGGCTAGAGGTTACTGGGTGCACTGGGGGTTACTGGGAGGACTGGAGGTTACTGGGTGCACTGGGGGGCTACTGGAAGCCTGAGATAAGGCCTGTGCACACGTCCGAGCACACTGGTAGCACCCGAGCGCGCCGGGGCTCCGCGGGGCGCGGCCTTACTGGTGCTGCTGGGCGAGCACTGGGCGACACTGGTGTCACCCCTCCCCATAGGCGCTCTATTGAGGCCGTCTGTCCCCTCCCGCTCCCCCTCGGGCGCTCGGCGCTCGGCTGGTCGAGCCTGCGGGCGCTTCCAGTGTCGCGTTGGCGGCGGGGGGGCGGGAGCGGGGGGGAGGGGCAGCCATGACCAACGGTGAGGGGATGGGGGGGATTTTGGGGGGTCTGAGGGGTCCTGGGGGGGGTCCGGGGGAATCTTGGGGCAGCCATGACCAGCGGTGAGGGGATGGGGGTGGTTTGAGGGGGAATGGGGGGCCTGCGGGGTCCTGGGGCCACCATGACCGACGGTGAGGGGATGGGAGGAATGGGGGCTCTGGAGTGATCCTGGGGCTGCCATGACCAACGGTGAGGGGATGGGGGGCATTTGGAGGGGGGCTGGGGGGTCCTGGGGGGGAACAGGGGCAGCCATGACCAACGCTGAGGGGATTGGGGGAGATCTGGGGGGGATGGGTCCTGGGGCAGCCATGACCAACGGTGAGGGGAATGGGGGGTCCTGAGGGGAACAGGGAGGAAAACGGGGGGTTTGAGGGGATTTGGGAGGGTCTGGGGGGTCTTGAGGGGAGTGGAAGGTCTGGGAGGGCTCTGGGGTCACTATGACCAACGGTGGGGAACGGGGCGGTCCAGAGGGGGTTTAAGGGGTCCGGAGGGGTAACGGGGGGCCCTGGGGGTGCCCCGGGCCCCGCTGACCCCCCGTGCCCGCAGTGTACTCCCTGGACGGGCTGTTGGTGTTCGGGCTGCTCCTGGTCTGCACGTGCGCCTACCTGAGGAAGGTGCCCCGGCTGCGCTCCTGGCTGCTGTCCGAGAGGAGGGGGCTCTGGGGGGTCTGCCACAAGGGTGAGGGGGGCAGTGGGGCTCTGAGGGGTCTGCCACAAGGGTGAGGGGGCGTCTGGTGGTGGAGGGGGTCAATGGGGGGCTGGGGGGTCTTCCACAAGGGTGGGGGGGACTGGGGAGAGTGCTGGGAGCGCTGCCAACACTGGCGTACAGGGTGGGGTCATGGGACCACTGGGGTGTGGGGTGGGGGTGCTGGAGTCTGGGTTGAGAATACTGGGAACACTGGGGTCTGGGATGGGGACAGGGGATCCAGAGGGTCTCACCCCACTCCTGTCCCCCCAGCCGCCGTGATCGGGACCCGCCTGCACGTGGCCGTGTCTGTGTCCTGCCTCCTCATGGCCTTCTACGTCCTGGTGGGGAAGTGACCCCAGGGGGACCCTCCTGGGACCTGGCACCAACCCCAGAGACCCCCGGGGACCCCCTTGAGACCTGGCACTGACCCCAGAGACCCCCAGGGATCCACCTGAGACCCCAAGTCTGACCCCAATGCTGTTGTACCAACCTGAGACCCTGGGACTGACCCCAGAGACCCCAGGATCGACCCTGAGACCCTAGGATGGACCAGAGCTCCCAGTCCTGATCCTGGTATCCCAGTACCAACTGTAGAGACCCCAGAATTGACCTGAGACCCCAGTACAGAGCCCAGGACCAACCAGAGACCCCTGAACTGATCCTGGAAACCCCAGAAACCCCAATACTGATCTGAGACCCCTGGTACCAACCCCAGAGCCCCCAGTATGGATCAGAGACCCCAGTGCTGACCTGAGACCCCTGGTCCTGACCCCAGAGCCCCCAGTGCTGACCACAGTGCCCCAGCCCAGACCCTGCGTGTGGTGGTTCCAGGACCACCATGGTCCATGACCCTCCTCCATCCCCCAAGGGCAGCCCTGGGGGGGACACTGGGGCACCTTGAAACCCTTGGAAAAGTATTTCCTGGGAATTCTCCGGAGCAGGGGGTGAGGAACCCCCCATAAGCCCCCAGGGGTGGGGGGGTATCCAGCTGTGCCCCCTGAGCACCAAACCCTGTCCTGTGGGTCTACGAGGGGCTGGGGGTCCCACCCTCATCAGGGGAGTCTCCCTTCACCCCTGGAGTTGGGGCCCCTCGAGGGGGTCTCCCCTCTGTCCTGGGGGGGGTGACCCTCCCCGTTTGTAAATACCATGTGTAAATAAAGTGGGGTCTCCCCTGTGGGCAGTGCTGGCCTGGGGGTCATGTGGGGTCGGGGGGGCCGGCCCCGTGGGGTGTGGGGGGTCCCTGTGTGATAGGCGCCCTGTCTGGGGATCCTGTGGGTCATGGGGGGGGGGGTCCTGTGGGTTCAGGGGGGGTACTGTGGAGTAGGTGTCCTGTCTGAGGGTCCCCTGGGACTTAGTGGGGGGGTCCTGTGGGGCTGCTGCCCAGCCTGGGGGTACTGTGGGGGGGGGGTTGTGGATTCTTTGGGGATGGGTTCTTAGCCTGGGGGTCCTGTGGGGTTTTGGGGGGCTCCCTGTGAGGTTTGGGGGGGGGGAAGGATCCTGTAGGGTTTTGAGGGGTGCTGTGGGGTTTCGGGGGGTCCCGTGGGGTGGTATGGGATCCCATGGGGTATTGGGGTCTCCCGTCCCGGCTACTCCCGCCTGCGGGGTCGGGGGCGTTGCGGGTCCTCCCGCCGCCAGGGGACGCTCTGCGGCGGGGCGCGTCTCACCGTGCCCTTCCCATAGTGCACCGCGCGGCCGCGCCATATAAGGGGCCGCACCGGAAGCGGACGGCGGGGAGTGGCGGCGGCGCGGGCGGGTGGGAGTGGGAGCATATGTGTGTGTGAATGGAGCATGTAACGGGCCGTGTGAGTGTGTAAGGGCGTGTGAGGAGTGTGAGAGTCTGTAAGTGAGGCGCCAGCCCCCTCCCCCTACACATTGATCTTATTCGATCGGCCGGGCCCCGCCGGGCCGAGGTGAGAAGAAGGCGCCGCGAAGCCCCTGGGGCGCTGTGCGGCTGGGCCGGGCGGGATGAGTCGATCAGATAGGCGAGGCCCAGGGCACTGCCCCGGCCCGTGAGCGCCCTGCGATTCTGACCCGAGCCCGCGGCCACAGAACCCCGGGGGGGTACCGCGACCGGCGGGGGGGATGCGGCCCTGCCTCGTCCCCCGGGGCCTGGGGGCAGAAGGGCCTCGCCGACGGCCCCGGAGGGTCCGTGCGACACGCGGCAGGGACACCCCGGTGTGGCCTCTGTGGGGACACGGGGATGGCCGTGGTAACAAGGGGAAAGCCATGGTGGTGACCAGGAGATGGACACGGTGCTGACCAGGGGATGGCCGTGGTAACAAAGGAACAGCCACCACGTTGACAGGGACAGTCATGGTGCTGACCAGGGCACAGCCGTGGTGGTGACCAAGGGATGGCCACGGTGATGACAAGAGGACCACTGTGCTGATGACAAAGGGACAGCCATGGTGGTGACAAGACCATGATGATGACCATGGACCAGTCACGGTAGTGACAAGGGGATGGCCATGGTGACAGAGGGGCAGCCATAGTGGTGACAAGGGGGTGGCCACAAGGGCACAGCCACGGGGTGACCAGGAGATGGCAACAGTGGTGACAATGCCTTGATGGTTACCAGGGGACAGCCACCATGGTGACATGGGGACAGCTGTGGTGGCGACAGGGGACAAGTCACCATGGTGGTGACCAAGCGATGGCCATGGCAGTGACAAGGGGGTGGCCAACAAGGGGACAACCACAGTGGTGCCCAGGGGACAGGTGTGGCAGTGACAAGGCCACGGTGGTGCCCAGGGGACAGCTGCAGTGCTGGCACTGCCAGGAGGAGCAGCCGTGGTGGCCCTGCTGTGGGGACACTCCGAAAGGGGGAACACTGTCCTGGGGGGGCTCTGTGTGTGAGGTGTCCCCAGGGCAGCCCCAGGGACAGCAGACACTGCAGACAGCGTGGGACATGGCCACCCCCTGCCACCGCATCCTGGGGCTGTCCCTGGGCTGCCCTGGGGACACACGTGTCCCCTCCCCATGGGTGTGTCCCCCGTGCCCACACTACCTGTACCACCACAGAGCTGGGCCCCCCGTCCCTCCGTGTCCCCATGTCAGCCGTGTCTCTCTGTGTCCCCTCTGTTCCCATGTCACCAGTGTCCCCTTATGCCCCCATATCCCCTGTATCCCCCATGTCCCCCTGTGTCCCCTACATCCCCTTTGTGTCCCCCTGTGCCCCACATCAGCTCTGTCCCTCAGTGTCCTCGTGTCCCTCATGTTCCCATATCTCCTGTGTCCCCATGTCCCAGTGTCCCCATCTTCCTCTATCCCCATATCAGCTCTGTCCCCTCCCCGTGTCCCCCATGTCCAGAACACGTGTGTGTCCCCCCCAGTCCTGTCCCCTCCAGTCCCCGGGGCTGGCCCTGCCCCGCGGGGACACGGCCCGGGGGGGACACGGCGGCGACACGCCCGTGGGGGTGGGGGCGGCTCGGGGGCGTGGGGGGACCCGTGAGCCCCCTGGCCCCCCGTCCCGGTGTCCCCCCAGCCCTGGGGGGGGCGGGAGGAGGGGCCGTTCCCGGAGCGGGGGGTGATATCCTGGGCCGTTCCCGGAATAACGTCCTGGGAATGATGCTTGGGGCGGGGCCGTTCCCGGGGATACTTCCCGAGGGTGATACCCCTGGCTGTTCCCGGTGCCGGGATTCCGTTCCCAGGGATACCTCCCAGGGGTGATGCCCGATGCCGTTCCCGGGAATACGTTCCGGGGATGACTCCCGATGCTGTTTCCATGGAAAACACTGCCGATGCCCGGTGTCATTCCCGGGATGTCATTCCCGGGGGTTCCATTGTCGTGTCTCTGTTCCCGGTACCGATGCCGGGTGCCGACTCCCGGGCCCGTTCCCGTGGCTGCCGTTCCCGAGGGCGATGCCGGAGATCGTTCCCAGTACCATTCCCGGCGGTTCCGTTCCCGATAGCGGTGCCATTCCTGGGGGCTCCGTTCCCAGTACCATTCCCAGTGCCTGGTGCTGGTTCTTGGGGGCTCTGTTCAGATTCCCGGTGCCGTTCCCGGGGGTTGTGTTCCTATTCCCGTTGGCGGACGCAGGTGCCGTTCCCGGGGGTGTTGATCCCTGTCCCAGCGGGTGATGCCCGTTCCCATTCCCGTTCCCGTTGCGGGGGGCGGGCGCAGGTGCTGTTCCCATTCCCGTTCGGGGGGCGGGCGCAGGTGCTGTTCCCATTCCCGTTCCCGGGGCGGGCGCAGGTGCCGTTCCCATTCCGGTTCCCGTTCCCGGCGCAGGTGCCGCCGGTGCGCGGGGGGCGGGCGGTTGGCGGGGGCGGGGCTGTGCCGGTGCCGCTCGGGCCGCGGAGCCGCCGCCGTTGCCGCCGTTGCCGCCGTTGCCGCCGTTGCCGCCGTTGCCGCCGTTGCCGCCGTTGCCGCCGCCATGGCCGGAGCCGGAGCCCGAGCCCGGTGGGCGCCGCTGGCGCTGCTGTGTCTCGCTGTCACCGCGTCCCCGGGACGCGCCGCGGAGCAGCTGCACGTCTGCAAGGAGGTACCGACACCGGGGATGGCGGGGGGGCACAACCCCCCCTAATTCCTCACACCCCCCCGGGACATGAACCGGAGCCCCGGAGCGCGGGGGGCACAGGGAGGGAATGGGCGTCCTTGTAGCGGGGCAAACCCTTGGGGAGGGGGGGCCTTGACAGACTCCAAGGGTCTCCTGGGGGGACCCCAAGTGGTGTCACCCTATCGCTGCCGCCAGATCCCAACCCCTCACACACATTGTGGTGGCCCCAAACCCTCCCCGAGTGCTGTTGGGAAGGGGGGGGTGACAAGGAAAGGGAGGGGGGGACATTCCCAGTGGCCACGTGCCATTCCCAGCCCGGCACGCGGTGGCCAAAGTGTCCTGCGAGGAAAAACCGGGGGATCTGTCACTCGCTGGGCTCTGCCCGCCTCGGGGACAGCGGGTGAACCCCCAGATCACCTCCCTGGGGTGCCCCCCCCGCTGTTCTCCCCCCTTTCCCCCCCAGACCTGCGGCTGCTTTTTAATCTGGGCCAGGAATGTTTTTCGCGCCGTGCTCCAGTTTTTTTGTCCGTGTTCCACGATCCGGAGCTGGGAACAATAGAGCGGAGCTGGCACCTGTCCCCACCAGGGACCGGCCCCCCGCGGCGGGGGGGTGTCCCCTGTCTCTGTCCCTCCCTAGGGACAGCCCCGCTCCCCCCCGGCCGGAGCAGGGTGACAGTGACACCTCGGGGTGCACCCCCTTCGCCCCCCCGGGCCGCCCCGCGGCTGAATTAGGTCAATTTATTTAGATTAAAAAAAAAAACCTAAGAAAAGTTTAGGAAGAGGGGAAAAAACCTTCTCCCCAAGGGGATCCCTCGGGAGCGACAGCGATAGGGGGGTTCGGGGCTGCTCAAAGCTGGGGTGACCCGCTGGGTACCCCCAGGGTGGGAGGACCCTCCTCTGTGCCCTATGCGGGGTTGGGGGGTCTTGGGGCTGCCCAGATACGGGCGGGGGGTGCTGCAGACACGTCTCATCCCCCCTTTTCCCTTCCACCCCCCTTTTCTCCCCTCCCCATCCCTTCTTTTCCCCTCATCCCTCCCTTTTCCTTCCCCCAATGCCGCCGTTTCCAGCTGACGGGAACATCAAAGCGGTTGTTTTCCCATCAACCTGCCACGCTCCGGCAGCCGCCGGGAGCACAAACCACCGCGCTCTGCCAGCCCAGGGCTGCGCGGGGGTGGGGGGCTCCCTCTACACCCAGTGCCCACCCCTTGTGCCCCCCCTACCCGCCGTGCCCCGACACCCCAGTGTGAGGGTGAGGGCCTCCCCCTTGTACCCAGTACCCTGTGCCCCCTGTACCCGGTACCACCCCTGCCTGACACCTCAGAGCTGCTGTAAGGGATGGGGGGCTCCCCCCTGTACCCCCTGGACACCCTAGAGCTGCTACGGGGCTGGGGGGCTCCCCCTGTACCCTGTGCCCACCCCCCTGTGCCCCAACACCCCAGAATTGGGTGGTGAGCTTCCCCCTGTACCCTGCACACCTCCCCCCCCGTGCCCCCTGGACACCCCAGAGCTGTGCGGAGGGTGGAGGGTCTCCCCCCGACCCCGTACCCCAAACCCCCTCCCCTCCCCCAGCACCGTCCTTGGTCCTGCCCACGCCGTGTCTGTCCCCGGTGTCACCTCCCCTGTATCACCTCCCCGCCGGCCTTGAGCCGCTCCCAGCCTGGCACAGCCGGTGGGATGGGGGGGTCACGGTGCCCCCGCTGTCCCCGGTGCCCCCCAGGACCCCCCGGTGTTTGAGGAGCCTCGCGTGTCACCGGCTCGGCCACCCCAAGGCTGCGACAGGGCGGGGTGTCCCCCCCACCCCGGGGAGGGGGCACAGGGTGGCCCCGCCGCAGTGTCGCCCCGTGGGGTGTCGGGGGCGGGGTCCCGGGTGACCCCCCGGCCCTCCCTGGGGTTTGGTGGCTGAGGGGGCAGGTCCTTGGGGGGGAGGGTCGTGCTGTCTGAAGTCCTGCCTGCAGCGACCCCCCCAGACAGGCAGCCCGCACCCCGGCAGCCCCTGGGACCCCCACACTCCCTGACCCCACCCTGAGCCCCCTCATTGCCCAGCACCCTCCACCCAGAGCATCCCCACCCTGGGCACCCCCACCCTGAGCCCCCCCTGGTCCCCATCATCCTGCACCCCCCGAATGCCCGCCCCCCCACGAGCACCCCCACATTGAGCATCCCCATTCCCCAGCACCCTCCACCTTGGGCACCCCTACCCAGAGCACCCCCCACTCCGAGCACCCCTATTTCCCAGCATCCTGCACCCCCAGAATCCCACCACCACGAGGTGGGGGTATAGACTTTCCTGGGGGGCACAGGGTGGGGGTGCGGCCCCTCCTGGCGGGCACACCCCTGTCTGGGGGGCACGGTGGGGGTGCAGCCCTGGCGGGGGCAGCACGGGGGTCCCGGGGGCAGCTCCCCCCGTGCTGTCCCTGTGCCCCCCCCGCAGTCCGAGTACCACTACGAGTACACGGCGTGTGACAGCGCCGGGTCGCGCTGGAGGGTGGCAGTGCCACACAGCCCCGGGCTCTGCACCGGCCTGCCCGACCCCGTCCGCGGCACTGAGTGCGGTGAGTGCCGGGAACGGCCGGGATAGCGCCTGTGGGATGGGATGGGATGGGAGGGGTGGGAATAACACACATGGAGTGTCTGGGATGGGATGGGAGAGCAGGGAATCACACTGGAATTGGATGGGAATAACAGACATGGAGCGTCTGGGATGGGGTGGGAGAGCAGGGAATCACACCGGGATTGGGTGGGAATAACACGCATGCAGTGCCTGGGATGGAGTGGGAGGGGTGGGATGGGAACAACACTGGGATGGGATGGGTGGGAATTACACTGGGATTGGGTGAGATGGGAATAACAGACATGGAGTGCCTGGGATGGGATGAGAAGGATGGGAATAACACACATGCACTGGGATGGAGTGGGAATCACACGCACAGTCCCTGGGATGGGATGGATGGGAATAACACACATGCACTGGGATGGGATGAGAGGGGTGGGAATCCCACACACAGAGGCACCAAATGGGATGAGCAGGATGGGAATCCCAACTCCCCCACAGCCCGGGGGTGCCCTGTCTCTGTGCCCAGGCGTCCCATCCCGCCTGGATCGGGAAGCACTGCGGGTCAGGTGCCAAACCCCATAAATTGGGGGGAGTTCCTTTGTGGGATGGGCAGGATGGGGGATCCTCCTGCTGGGAGCACCCGGGAAGGTGGAGCTGAGGATGATGAGGCTGAAGCACCCCCGGGGGGGGGCTGGGGGGCATTCCCTGCGATCCCGGTTTCCGTGGGCAGCGTTCTCCTGCAAGGCAGGCGAGTTCCTGGAGATGCAGGCGCAGTCGTGCCACCCCTGCGCCGCTGGCACCTACTCGCTGGGCACCGGCGTCCGCTTTGACGAGTGGGACGAGGTGCCCCGTGGGTTTGCCAATGTGGCCACCAACCTGGAGCTGCAGGAGGGGCCCGGGAACACCGCTGGGAACTGCAGCGGGTGAGGAACCGCAGGGGAAACTGGGAGCGGAAACCGGGAAACCAGGATGGGACACTGGGATGGGAAACCAAGATACAGGATGGGAAACTGGGAGGGGCACCAGGATGGGGAAAACAGGGTGGGACACTGGGATGGGAAACCAAGATACGGGATGGGAAACTGGGATGGGAAACCAGGAGGGGGCACTAGGATGGGATACTGGGATGTGGCACTGGGTTGGGACACTGAGATGGGGCACTGGGATGGGGCACCAGGCACCAGGATGAGACACCCAGATGGGGCACTGGGATGGGAAACCAGGATATGGAATGTGGCACTGGGATGGGCACCGGGATGGGAAACCGGGCACTGGGATGGGGCAACAGGAGGAAACCAGGAGGGGGCACCAGGATGTGACACTGGGACGTGGCTCCAGGATGTGACACTGGGATGGCGCACTGGGGTGCGAAACCAGGATGTGGCACTGGGATGTGGCACCCACGGGAGTCCCCACAGCACTCAAGGGGGTCCTCCTGGTTGCACCAACAGCCTCTGAACCCTCCCAGTTGTCCCAACACCTACCAACCCCCCTCAGTTCCACCAACAACCCCCAAACACTCCAGTTGTACCAACAACCCCCAACCCCTCTGGTTGTACCAACACCCACCAAACACTCTGGTTGTCCCAACAACTCCCAACCCCTCCCAGTTGTACCAAGAACCCCCAAACCTCCTGGTTTGTCCCAACCCCCACTCACCCCACCCCCCCATGTCCCCCACCCCGTCCCTGCTCCCCAGGGGCCCTCCTGGCCGGTCCCACCCCCCCATTCCTACCTGGAATGGCCGCAGGACCCTCTGGGGCTGTGTCCCCCCCCAGGTCAACGTGGGTGCCCCGGGGGGACTACGTGGCCTCAAACACGGACGAGTGCACGGCCACGCTCATGTTCGCCGTGAGCCTCAAGCAGGCGGGGACCGTCACCTTCGAGTACCTGTACCCCGACAGCAGCATCGTCTTTGAGTTCTTCGTGGGTGCCAGGGGGGTCACCTGGGCACCTCAGGGGGTGCCTGGGGCCGTGGCAGGGGGCCCTGGGGGTGTGGGGGGGCATCTTTGGACAAGGGAGGGGTGTCTTGGGACAGGGGAGGGGGCTCGGGAAGTGGGAGGGGTCTCTTGGGACATGGAGGGGTATTTTGGGACAGGGGAGGGGTGTTTGGGGACATGGGAGGGGCCTGAGGGACAGGGGAGGGGTCCTTGGTGACCTGAGGGTCACCTGAGGGATTGCCTGGGACCATGTCAGGGGTCCCTGGGGACATGGTGGAGGGTCCTGGGGACGTGGAGGGGTCTCTTGAGACAGGGGAGGGGCGCTGGGGACCTGAGATCACCTGATGAGGGTTGCCTGGGGCCATGTCAGGGGTCCCTGGGGGCGTGGGAGGGGTCTTTTCGGACATGGCAGTGGTCCCTGGGGACATGGAGAGGTTTCTTGGGACACGGGAGGGGCCCTGAGGACACAGGGAAATTCCCTGGGGACAGGGTGGCATTCCTGTGGACAGGGGGGATCTCTGGGGATGGGGGGGGGGTCCCTGGGGACGAGGGGGTCCGTGGGGACAGGGGGTCCCTGATCCCGCCCCCGCAGGTGCAGAATGACCAGTGCCAGCCTACGGTGGAGGAATCCCGGTGGATGAGAACGACGGAGAAGGGCTGGGAATTCCACAGCGTGAGTGGGGGAGGGGACCCCGGGGGTCCCGGCCCCTCGCCTGGGGACAAGGTGCTCCCCGAGGAGCAAAGGGGGCGGAGGGTGATGGCAGGGAGGGGACTATGCGCCCCCCCACTGTGCCAACCCCCCCAACCATGGGACCCCCCCCCCCCCCGCTGGTCCCAACCCCTTCCCTGGCACTAAGACCACCCCCTGCGGTGCCTGCCCCTTCCCAGCAGCAGGACCCCCCACCCGTGGTGCCAACCCCCTCCCCAAAAGCAGGGCCCCCCCATTCTCGGTACCACCCTCGTATCTGGCAGCAGGACCCCCCCACACACCCCACGGTCCCCCGCGGCAACAGGACCCCCCCCGTGGTGCCAACCCCTTCCCGGCAGCAGGACCCCCCCATCCCTATTTCCAACTTCTTCCCTGGCCGTGGGACCCCCCATCCCTGCTGCCAACCCCCCACCCATGATCCCAACCCCTTCCCTGGCCGTGGGACCCCCCACCCATGGTCTCAACCCCCCCCCAGCAGTGGGACCCCACCCACCCATAGTCCCCACCCCCTCCCTGGCAGCGGGACCCCCCTGCGGTGCCGACCCCCTTCCCGGCCGCGGCCCCCCCGATCGAGCGGGCTCCCCGTTTCCCAGGTGGAGCTGAGCCGCGGGAACAACGTGCTGTACTGGCGCACCACCGCCTTCTCCGTGTGGTCCAAGGCGCCCAAACCGGTGCTGGTGAGGAACATCGGCATCACAGGTGGGTGGGGGCGGGCAGGGAGGGGCCCGAGAGGGTCCCGCGCCCCCCTCCCCGCCCCCCCTGAGCCCCCTACCCTCTCCAGGGGTCGCGTTCACCTCCGAGTGCTTCCCCTGCAAGCCCGGCACGTTCGCCCCCGCGCCCGGCGCCGCCTCCTGCCAGCCTTGCCCCGCCGACACCTTCTCCGGGAAAGGGGCCACCGCCTGCCAGCCCTGCGAGCCCGACTCCTACGCCGGTGAGGGGGGACACCCCGGGGTGTCCGCGCCCGCGGGGGGCGGCTTTGGGGGGCCCCTTGTCCTCCCGGTCTGGGATGGGAGAGGTGATGGGGGGAGCAGGGGGGACCCGACATTCTGTGGAGGGGACAGGATTGGGATCCCCTTGTGAACCTGGTGTTTACACTGCTGAGAGTGGACCCCTGGGGGTCCCCACACGCAGAGGTGGCAGCTCTGGGAGTCCCCTTGTCCCCCCCACTCTGTGCCCTGGGGAAGGGAGAGGCGATGTGGGGGAACAGGGGGGACCTGCCATCCCACAGTGGGGACAGGGTTGGGGTCCCTTTGCAAGCCCAACATCTGCACTGGGGAGAGGGGATATTTGGGGGTCCCCACACCCGGAGGTGGCAGCTTTAGGGGTCCCTTTGTCCCCCCCAGTCCGTGCCCCAGGGGGAGAGAGAGATGATGTGGGGAGCAGTGAGGACCCGACATCCCGTGGTGGGTTGGGGTCCCCTCACGACCGACACCTCTGCTGGGAAGAGGGGACACCCAGGAGTCCCCACGCCAGAGCTGGTGGCCTTGGGGGTCCCCCTGTCCCCCCACATTGTGCTGTGGGGGTGTCCCTGGGGAAGGTGATGCAGGGGACAGGGAGGACCCGGTGTCCCTTGGCTGGGAGGGGGGACACGGACCCCCCCCGTGTTGGGGACGGCGTTGAGGTCCCCCGGCCCCTCACCCTCGTGTCCCCCCCCGGCAGAGCCTGGCTCGGGGTCCTGCAAACCGCGTCCCCCCTGCACGGACAAGGATTTCTTCTACACCCACACGGCCTGTGACGCCGGCGGGGAGGTACCGCGGGGACCCCCGGGGCGGCCCCCCCGTCCCCTGCGGGTGTCCCCTGTGGGTTTCCCCCCCCTCACGCGCTGCCCCGGCAGACGCAGCTGATGTACAAGTGGGCAGAGCCTAAGATCTGCAGCGAGGAGCTGCCGCGGGCGGCCCGGCTGCCGCCCTCGGGGGGCAGGTCGCGGTGCCCCCCCTGCAACCCCGGCTTTGCCAAGGGCGCCAGGGGCTCCTGCCAGCCTTGTCCCCGCGGCTCCTTCTCCAACGGCTCCGGTAAGGCCGCCCCGGAGCGTCCCCGGGGGGAACAGGGACACCCCGAGCTGCCGGCGGGAGGGGGGTGCCGTCCTGGGGGCAGGGCTGTCCCCTCCTGTCCCCATCATTGTCCCCAGGGGGGGTTACCGGGGCACCCCGAGCTGCCGGGGGGAAGGTGGGGGTGTCACCCCAGTGCAGGGCTGTCCCCTCCCGTCCCCATCACTGTCCCCCAGGGGGGTTACCGGGGCACCCCGAACTGCCGGGGAGGAAGGTGGGTGCCACCCCAGGGTGGGGTTGTCCCCTCCCGTCCCCATAGCTCCGCTAAGGATATCCCTGTCATTGTCCTCAAGGGGCGACCAGGGTCCCCAGAGCTGCCAGGGGGAAGGGGCTGTCCCCTCCTGTCTCTATAATTGTCCCCAAGGGATGACCGGGGTCCCTAGAGCTGCCGGGGGGGAGGTGGGGGTGCCACCCCGGTGCAGGGTTGTCCCCTCGTGTCCCCAGCCTGCCTGTCGTGCCCGCCGGGCACGGAGCCCGCCCTGGGCCTGGAGTACAAGTGGTGGAACGTGCTGCCCCCCAACATGGAGACCACCGTGCTCAGCGGCATCAGCTTCGAGTACAAGGGCGTCGCAGGTACAGGGGGCCGTCCCCTCCCTGACCCTTCCCTGTCCCCTCCCCGGGCACAGCCGGGGTCCCACAAGCGCCGCCGTGTCCCCGCAGGCTGGGAGGTAGCCGGGGACTTCATCTACACGGCGGCCGGAGCCTCCGACAGCGACTTCATGATCCTCACGCTGGTGGTGCCGGGCTTCAGGTGAGGGGGTGTCCCTGCGGCCGGGGGGTGCGGCCGTGCGGCGGGGCTGGCAGTGTCCCCACGCTGTCCCCACGCTGTGCCCAGCCCTCCCAGCCCGGTGCTGGAGGACATGGAGAGCCGGGAGGTGGGAAGGATCACCTTCGTGTTCGAGACTGTCTGCAGTGTGGGCTGCGAGCTCTACTTCATGGTGGTGAGTGGGGGCACTTTGGGGGGTAATCCCGGGTTTGGGGGGACACCGTGACAGTGGTGTCCCCCATTCATGGTGGTGAGCGGGGGGACACGTATTTAGGGGGATCACACTGGGTTTGGGGGGACACTGTAACAGTGGTGTCCCCAAAGTGAAACACCCCAGGGATGTGTCCCTCCCTCCCAGCAGGAGATGGGGGGGTCACCCTGGGGGTCCCCAAACTCGGGGTCCCCACTGTCCCTCCCCCAAACCTGGGCACAGCCAGGGTGACACCCCAAAGTTGAGGAGGACACTGTGACAGTGATGTCCCCAAAGTGAAACACCCGGGGGATCAGCCCCTCCCTGCCAGCAGGAGAGGTTTGGGGCACCTTGGGGGTCCCCAGAGCCCCTCCTCGGGGTCCCCAGTGTCCCTGCCGGCAGAGAGCCTTTGGGACATGCAGGGGACACTGTCGCTGTCCCCACAGGGTGTGAACTCCCGCGCCACCAGCCCGGTGGAGACCTGGAGGGGCTCCACGGGCCGACGATCCTACACGTACGTGGTGCAGCACAACGGCACCCTGAGCTTCACCTGGGCCTTCCAGCGCACCCCCTACCACCAGCCGGTGAGGGCTGGGTGGGGGTCCCCTCATCCCTTTGGGGGGTCCCAGGGTGTCCCCCCTTCCCTTGGAGAGGGCCCGGGGGGGGGTCCCATATTCCTTAGAGGGTTTCTTGGGGTGTCTCCTCTTCCCTTTGAGGGGTCCCCTCTTCCCTTTGAGAGTCCCAGGGGTGTGCCCTCATCCCTTTGGAAGTCCCAGGAGTGTTCTCTTCTCCCTTTTGGGACATTCTGAAGGCCAAGGGAATCCCCAAACAGTGGGAATTACTGCCCTTTTCCCTGTTGCCATCCACCGAGACACTCCCACCCAGGGGTCACTCCTGCCCAGAGGACACTCCAGGGGACACTCCAGGGGACACTCCTGCCCTGGTAACACTCGTGTCTCCCGCAGGGCCGGCGCTACACGGGTGACGTGGCCAAGCTGTACAGCATCAACGTCACCAACGTGCTCGGGGGGGTGGCCTCCTTCTGCCGCCGCTGTGCCCCCCAGCCCACAGGCCCCTGTGCCCCCTGCCCCCCCGGCAGTGCCCTGGACCCCACAGGGACCTGCCAGCCCTGCCCCCCCGGCACTGTCCTGCGGGGACCCCCCTCGGGAGGGACCCCCTTGTGCCACCCCTGCGGGCCCGGCACTCGCAGCAACCAGGTGGGTGTCCCCAATGGTTCCCCAGGGGCGGCACTGGGCAGTTCCAGGAGAGTGACACCGTCATGGGTGGGTGGCACCAGGTCCCCCCGGCCGTCCTGGGTGGGTGACACTGCCTGGGTGGTGATGTCAGCCCCCCTCAGCTGTTCCCAGGGAGGTGAAA